TACAATTCGATTTCTTTGTTATGAGCGTGTAACATGGTCCACCATTCGATTTCATCGTTGGATCCAACTATCCAACATTTATCAGTTATATATGAGCGTGTAAATAGATTAAATTCTGACAGAAACAAGTTGGCAAGGACGTCTAGGGAAATGATTAAAGAGAAATCGGTTAAAATAATCTAAAAAAAATTATATTTTATTAACTACTTAAATTATCATAATCTAATGGCTCATATTTCTCCATATCATATTATTTTCATTACATTATAAATATTTTTTTTTTTTGTTATTGTTGCAAATCATCCATAATTAAAATGGGCAATAATGAAATAATTAAAAAAAAAAAAAAACGTGACTTCCAATGTGTTAACTTTATTTATACCTTTTGTAAATGTGTGCACGATATGACCCATCAAATCAAGTTTTGAGAACTTAATCACTAGATTTAAGTTTTTTTATTGGAAACTTTTATGTTTAATGGATAAAGATGAGCCGATGGCCTTTAAGATTGCATAGTTAAATGGTACTTCTACCTTATTTTTTAACACATTCGATTTCCAAATATGGGTATCGAAATAATCATTAAGATTTTGATTTTTTTATAATATTTGTGCGGGTACTTGAATTGATTAAAGACACCAAAATAAAGTATCCTATCACTTCATTTGAGAAAGAAGTTGGTGGTACTTGTTGGAAAAGTTGTTAAGTTTCCACTCCTTTCATTTATTGTTTCATGTCTTTTCCTATTATTAAATCTATTAATTTTATTTATTTATCATAGTTAATTGATTTAATTATATAAAAAATTTAAAAAAATTAGTTTTACAATCTTTGCGTTTGTAGGTTTTATTTTTTTTAATAAAATGTCTGTATGTTTTCGAAAGTTGGATTCATACGGTCAACATTTCAATTATTTTGGAAAAATATATTTTAGATTAAATTTTTGGTTTTTCAAAATAAGGGAAGCTTTGATAATTTCTAAGCAAGAAAAAACTCTTCACAATGGCTCGTAGTCTCTGTAATGCTTAAGACTGACACGTTGTCGTTTCGCATCATTATTTTGTATCGTAACTTTTTTCTGCGTAGCAAAATGTCTTTTAGTGTAGACCGACATTTATGTTTACAAACTAAAAACACTTTATTATTACGATAAAATATGTAAATCCAATTAATAAAATCTAGGACAATTACAAAAATATTATTTTTAGTGTGCCAAAATGATACGATGGGTTGTCTATTTGCAAAAATATCACTAATTATAGATATTTAAAGCCTAAACCTTAAAATTCTATAATCTTACAAAATGTTTTGACCCATAACAAATTCTAAACCCTCAAAACTAAACCCTAATATAGCATAGTTAAGCAAAACATAAATAATATAATGAATAAATAATTTTGAAAACATGATATTTTTGCAAAGATTTTAAAAATGTGGTATTTTTTAAAAGTGCCACATTAAAAATGATATTTTTCAAAAATTTTCTAAAATCTATAAAACAGTTGTGAGTATATCTCGCTTTTGTTTCATTGGATTACCGGGTTGATCTCAAAAGCAAAAGCTAACTTGTTGTCTTGAAAACTGTTTCAGTTTATTCTAAAATGCACTTGAAGAGACCGATAGCGGGTTCTCAGGTTCCTTTCTGTCCAATTGAAAAGAAAATGGTCGATTGTTGGTCAATTATCGATCCCAATAGCTTTCGGGTTCGTGGTAAAACATATTTCAGGTAAGCCATTGGAGAGACCACACTGATTCTTACTTATGATTACTAATTAACCATCTTAACAAGAAGCTATATTTTGTTTTTGGTTAGGGAGAAGAAGAAAGAGTTTGCACCTAGCCATGCTGCGTATAACCCTTTTGGTGTCGATGTTTTCTTATCGGAACATAAAATAAACCATGTCGCACAATATGTCAAACTTCCCGTTACTACCACATCCCCAAAACTCCCATCTATCCTTGTTGTAAATGTCCAGGTATGCTCTAGTTCAGTTGTTAGTCAGTTTGTTGCCTATTTTGTGGAATTTTCAGTGAGCGTTCCTCTTGGTTTACGGTTGCAACAAATTCCATTGTATCCAACTGCAATCTTTCAAGCTGAATCTGATGGAGAAGGAATGAATATTATTTTATACTTTAAACTTTCGGATAATTATTCAACAGAACTTCCGATCCATTTTCAAGAAAGCATTCGGGTAATCAAAGCTCGAGTCGATTAGTTTCATCTTCTTGTTTGCACTATAATGCTCTTGGTATTGAATCCATTTGTTTTGTTGGCACATAGATTAATTGATGATGAGGTTGAGAAAGTTCAAGGCTTCCCTATGGATACAACCGCGCCTTTTAGAGAACGGCTTAAGATATTGGGACGTGTTGCAAACGTAGATGATCCCCAATTGAGTGGTCCAGAGAAAAAACTGATGCAGGCTTATAACGAGAAACCTGTTCTTTCGCGCGCCCACAGCATGAATTCTACTTGGTGAGACCACCAATCACATTAGCTGCTGTTCTTCTTGATTAGGACTATGCTTGGTAACTAATGAGCTTGAAATTTTTACTCTTTGTAGGGAGAAAATTACTTTGAGATTGATATCGATATGCATAGATTCGGTTATATATCCCGGAAAGGGTTTGAAACATTCATAGACAGAGTCAAGATATGTGTTCTTGATGTTGGCCTCACAATTCAGGTAGGTTGTTACAAGCATTTTTTAATTTCTTCACCGGATCGAAACATTATGGGATTTTATCGCTTATGTTGAGGCTTTGTATGTATGAACAGGGGAACAAACCGGAAGAGCTACCGGAGCAGATTCTGTGTTGCGTCCGGCTAAATGGGATTGATTTCATGAACTATCATCAGTTAACTCAAGAAGTCCATTGACTAACAACAACATTCTTCTTCTTCTTCGCGTAGTAGACCATCTTTGCTCGTATTGTTAGACCACACGTAGTAAGGCTTTTAGGGTCATATAAATTGTGTTGATATCAAATTATCAATTAACATATCCATAGTTTTAGATCTGTTCGGCATCATGTCGCTGCGTCATCCACCGACGTTTAAAATTTCATAGTGCATATTGTAACTATACTCTTTTCTTTTAAACTTATGGAACACATAGAATCCATCCAAAATAGATATATTATTCAACAAAAACATTAGTTAAATAGATCTGTT